ATTGCAGTGACAGTGCTTCGTGATAGAAGTAACTCTAAGCAGCCTTTGATTAGCTGAGGTTGTCTTATTAGAAATCAGTAGCGTTAGAGACATGAGCAATGTACTCTGCTTGTGCTGCTCCACAAAGTTTGGAATGAGAAGAAAGCCCTGAAGCTTTGATTCAAAAATGAAAGATCTCTCAACAGAAGATAACAAAGACTTTGGGGACTGTCAGGTTATGCAGAAACTGTAACGGCCAGGACAAGCGCAGGACAAGCTAATAAGCAGTCAGCAAATCTCTTCCTTCCCCTCCTTCCTTCCCTTTCATCCCTAAACAAAAAAATCTGCCAAGTGTGCCAACAACTGTACTAACAAAGCTTTCTAGCTGGCTAAATGATTAATTGCTTAACACACTGAAGTTAGAACAGGGACATAACTGCTTAGTTAGGAGACCAAATCAGTTTCAGCATGCCGGCTGATCCAAAAGAGGGGTAGAGTAAGTTCTGTCTGGTACACATTCAAAGAGAGAGAGAACCTTTCTTTCCTTGTCAAGCAATAAACCCTTACTCTAGTGAGAATCTGGACTTTGCGCATACCTTCTGAGTCAGCATCTTCTCTCTAGCTTCATCATGTATAGCTGGATTCCATGGAGAAAAACTATGGAAAAAAACAGTTATCTTTTACTTCACATTTTTGCAAACTACAGCATAGACAGAGCAGAAAGCAGGCATTTTCCTTGGTTTAGTTTGTTGAACTTCAAGTAAACTACAAGTGTCAGTTTTTAGCGTTAAAACATACAGTTAAGAACTAAATTCACATTGTCATGGATCTTTTCAACACAAAATGTTCAGGTTTTCATTTTTGTTTTCAATGAGAACTGGCAATTCAGCAAGTGCTACATGAAACACTACTCATATTCACTATGGAGCTGACTGCTCCGTCCCCCATACAGTCAAGCTTAAAAGCATTTAAAAAGTATGACCAAAGTATGACAGTCATCTAAAAGTTCAGGAAAGCCCAAACACATTATTTACTCCATGGGTAACTCTACTGGAGGGAGATGGGGTGTTTTCAGGTTTGTTTGTTTGGGGTTTTGTTGAGTTTTTTTTAAGTCTTGGTTGCTCAGTGACAAAATAGTAAACACAAGTGTCTGTATTTGAGATACACTCAATACTAAACAGAAGGAAATGAGGGTAGGAATATTAAAAGTATAAACGTAAGAAAAAACAGGTCAGTCAACTCAGCAAAGGCAGGCTTCAAATCAACAGCTATACCAGAACTTGTGGTCAAAACACTAGGACGTGGTGAATTTGCTCACGGTACTTACATGATTGCATAGGGATCCTCTATTTTGGGCTGATCAAATAAATGACTGCTGCATAGTTTGACACTGTCCACCACTTTACTTTTGAACAGCTGAATATCTTTTTCATACCTGCAAGAGAGAAGTAAGTAATGTTAAGTAATTGCAAGGAAGCACAGGTTTGCTCTAGAAGCACAGACAGACTTGGCAAAGCCTCAACTTTAGTTCCTAGCACAACCAACTCTGGCGGTAGAGACCATGAACCGATAAACAACTTTAAAAACCTCCTGTTTCTGCAAGTCTATGCAAAAATCTCTTAAGAGACCATGTCTATACACATGGAAGATACTTACAGCACTGCAGCCTCAGGGTTCAGAGGACTAGTTGTATCAATCTTGTAGAAGACTCTGCGGGCATACATTAATACTTGCCATATATGATTATGATTTCGCCTAAAAAGAACAAAACATAATGAAGAAAGGAACAAACTTCTTTCAAATTATACATCAATATGTTACCACTAACCTCCATTTTGCAAATGCTCTTTTCACATCCAGTTCACCAGATAAAGGATCTACTAGCGGATGGAAGACAGGCAGATCAAAAACCAAGCGCTGTATTAGGAAAAAGAAGTTAATTATGACAACTTTAATCCTAATGCTAAAACTACTAGATGAAGGTCAGTCAGATGTTGTTTCCAAATACTAATTAAGTGTTGCTGTACTAAAAGAAAGCCACCTGAACTGTGAAACTGTAACCCAACGCACCCATGTTACATGCAGGGTCTTGTCCTCTCTCACATGCTTATCACCAAATCAGGAAACTAATCCAGCTAACTGCACAGGCACTAGTGCCAAGACAGGTAATCATACCAGATAAGATCAGATTAAAGCAGTTTTTCTGGTTTAGCTATTTGTGACTGAAAGCTTTTTACATACTTGAGCTACAATCAATACTTTTTTTTATCCTACACATTTTTAAATAAACTGAGCAGTGACACCAAGGTGTCTTCAGTTCTTTACAGCTAGTTTCCTCTGGTGTTCGTGCATTCTTCCAAAAGAAAACTTAGTTTCAACAGCAAGGTTTTAAAGTCCTATGCTAGCAAAAGAATGATGGCTGCATGAGAGATACTAAAGTCTAATCTTTGAAAGAAACTGTTTCCTACTAGTTCTGACCTTTTAAAGCTGATAGCTTTACACAAAACTTGACACCAAGTAGACAGCTTCCTGACATAGCAACTTGTTCTCAGCTGCAGCAGTTACATATGCCTGTCCCCCAATCTTCCTCTTAAAGAAATCTGGCAAAGAGGGCCAGTTGCTCTGGAGAGTCAGATTGCCACAAGATTTTTTTCTTTAATTTTTATTTTTTCATTGATTCATTAACTTGAATACTTTTCCATAAAGAGAAAAAGATAAAGCAGAGATGGAAGGTAACACCATGCTATTTATCTCCTTGTCCCTTTGTTTCACCAACGTTCTCCTCAAGTTCTTTTCGTTCTTTGTTTCAATGTAATTTAGAAGAGGGACAGGCAAGAAATCCTGCAGTACTACAGCAAGCATAGCATAGGTGCCTGGATTTTATGTTCTATTATATCGCTACTCAGAATTTGGATACTTCTTTAAGTGCTTCAATGTTAAATTCCTTGCCGAGCAGATCAAGAGTTGAGGTAAAGAACTCTAACGCATCTAACCTCAGGAAGTTCACTCTACAGCAGCCTCTGTAGTCAAGAGTAACACGATTCCTCCATAAATGTAAGGAAATATAATACAAGATATTGCAAATGAGCCCAGCCAACTGAACAAAACTAGTTCAAGAAAATGAGAAGCTAATTGGTATATTAGCTTTAACAAAAAGTCAGACTAAAAACACCAGAAACCAAGAAAAACCCAAGACACACACAACCACTTACCGGGCAGTCTCCATCTGGGTAATTATCAGGAATATAGACAGTAAATTTAAACACACCGTCCTGGTAGAGCCCGTGTCTTATGAATATTACACCAAACCACACTGCAAGTGAGAAAGTTTGCTTGAGTGAAAGAATTTTAAAATATATA